GTTGCAAAATAAATATATAAATTTTCCTGTGGCCTACACAATACACGACTCCCCGGATTCTAGCATTATTTGGATCTTTTTCTCGTTGGTCTGCCTATAGCCGTTTCTACGGTTATATTCGATGCAGTATCCCAGCAAGCCGGATCCCAGATATAGGGGTAAAAGGTAAAACAAAGTATCCAGCCGTCTCCTACTGCGCCAGCTGCCCCGAACTCGTACAACGTGGACATATAAGGATAAAATGGAACATTTATAAACTTCGTATGTACCCGCGCGTTTCGCGTATAATCTAGGAACGTCACTATATGTTCATGGAATGTAAACTTTGTCCCATTTTTATTACCTTCAGTCCGGTACGCTGCTATAACGTAAGCAACCTTAACGCTATTGGAACCCTCACTCGTTGAAGCGAGCACGCCGAAATATATGTTGGAGGGATAGTATTGTTATTATTACTATCCGCAGGTGATCTAAGGAAAATTTTCCCATGACAGAGTTATGCAACTTCTCAGTTGGAAAGATTAATGATATGGTTTGTCGCATTTAATCTTATATTTGTCTATTGATATATACGGCAAGAGCACAGTGGGCCAGGCTTTCCTCTACTGAGTCTGCAATAGAGGCAGTCTGACCCAACATGCTATACAGTTTTAAAGTATTATCAATGTATTCAATAAATAAATAGGTCGTTTCCCCATAGAAAGCAGTTAACAGTTGAATTTTCCTTTCGAAAACGACCTACGTTAGTGAATTGGGACCGTCATTATATATGACACTAGAGCTATAATAAATAGATATATAGAAGTAAACTGTAGTCGGAAGGCTGGTTCATAAAATGTAAGGATGAATTAAATGAACCACGAAACTAAATGTTGTGAGCTTTTCGCTGACAGGCTCTCTCACTGCATTAAGGAATAGATACGACTTGAGATCAGAACAACGCTACCATCGTCTTTCGTTGGAAACTTCACTAATCGAGCGATTTTGCAACACTGAGCGCGTCATACAGGTAGAACCAATATATGTAAACGCATTGCGATTGGCAGCAGAGTAAACCCGAGTCAAAAAAGTATCAGATTTGAAATCACTGCTAGTCGGGGCTTTTAGCTCAGGAAAACCTATACAAAAAGACCATGCGGCAGCTATACACTCTATAGGTACATTATAGCGCCGCAGTAAACTCCTACGTCTCGAATCTGATCACTGAAATCGCTGTAACAAAAAGATGCGCCAGGCCGAAAGGTACCGCGCCCTGAACAGGTTCCTTTACCCGACCCCGCTTCCAGGGCAAAATAAGTGCTTACGTTCAACTCTCTTGAGCGATTACCTCTTTATATCAGGAGAGAGGGGAAAACCGACGATGAAGAGCTCACTTCGAACAAGCAGCGGGTACTTAGCGGACGTCGGGGTGACTGTCGCAAATGAACTGGGAAGCAAAGGCCAGCTTGAACTACGACCACACCGGGTAGCGCCATTCTACTGGATTGCTTGAGACAATGCAGTACAGGTCGAGATTCGATAGAATTGGAGAGAAACCGATAGAAATCTAAACACGTGGCTTTTCGGACGATGATTCTTGATGTGTGATAGTTTGATCTGTATTCGTCGTGCTCCGGAACCAGTCAGATCAGCAGCTGGGAGACGACTCATTCGATATACACAACTAACTACGACTGAAATTCGGTTTGTCTCTATTGGGTATGGACGCGTTTCATTGTACGAAATCGTATTCTGGCCATATGCGTCAATGGACGAAAAAAAAACGTACAACTAAAGCAAAATAAAGCTCCAGAAAATCCTTCTGTTTATTAGATGCTCCATAATAGCCTAAGACAGGTTAGTTTATAGGCAATTAACCTAAAATCATCTCTTTTCAGCCTAGATAATGTTAATCTCTACTCGTATATCTAAATAAGAAAAATTTTCGTGCTTGATAGTACAAGCTGTACACGTGAAGCCTTTGATTCTATCCACTCATCATTGAAATATCACTGACAAGTTTAGGAGCTTTCAATTTCGTACAGAGCCGCTTTGAATATTTTTATAAACTAATAGTAATCGTCCTTTACTAATGGCGATTAGTAGTGGAGACTTATCTATTTGAAAGGCAAAAAATTCGCTTTATATCTATAGTTTCTCAAGGATTATGTGCAAAGCGGGAAGTCATCAAAAAATTAACTCCCAAATATTAATTTAGGATGAAGAATCTGCTTAAAGGCCAAAATTTTCTACGAAATGCCAGAATCACAGCATAGCTATACACTCCACATGAATAAGCTCGAATTTGTCGACTGTTATAATTTTAGATTTGCTTTTGAGTTCGATACTCACCAGGAACTAATTTACATACTGCCCTATTATAAGACGAAACGAAAATTTATTTGATGGATAGAAGCTTTCTTACAAAACAAAACTTCCAAGAAAATACGTCCTATTTAAATTAAGGACCTGTTAACGGGCTGTCTCTACAAGTATTCCTTCAATACAAACTTTTCCTAGACAACTTTGTTTTAAGCACGGACAGGTACTCGAAGCGCGTTACCGAAAAGGCCAAAAATACAAATAGAACGATCAACTCGATTCTATAAAGTTTTGAGCTTTACAGTCGACGGCAGCTCTTTATATAATTGCTTAACACCTGCGTATTATTCATGCGAGTCCTATCGTCAAATTGGAGTTAATTAAGGACAATGTACTACTCCTCAAATTATAACGTAACAGATAGTCTGAATCCACCATCATAGGAGCTATAGAGAGATTACTGAATCTTATCCAAAAAGTATTTGCGCCTTTATCTGGATCTAGACATCGAACAAAAGGCCCTGAACTACGACTACTTTGAATGGTCGAATAGTACACTGCTTTGCGTACGGTATACCTGGACCAGCGCGCAAATAGGCACCACCCGATATTTGATCTAACGAGCAAATAGACGAACTTAAATGCTTTGAGCAGTGCTGAACCACTTGAAAAAAGTGTAGAACCGCTTTGCCGGGGAAGACGATATTTCTAAGGGGGTTGCCACACAGGTTCGTGTACAGGTGATTCGACCGGCACTCTTCTGATGAGAGATTCCAAACACTCGTTCCGCAGAGACCTCACTGATGCTGCAGAGGACAAATTCAGAATAATACATTTCTAGATTCGTGTCGCTTTGGAAACGTGCCAGTAAACAAATGTCCACGTGTCTGGGCAGAAACTGTCGGAGCGCGTCCACAGATAAATAGCCAGAAGCAGAGAAAACTACGAGTGCATTCGTATTTCTCTTAGAGAAGCTAAAAATTAAAGATGGCACTGGCTGAGATGTAGACCCGAACGACTATGGTTACCAAAGCAGGCAGATTAAAGGTAACGTTGCTGCACTTAAGACAAATAATGGCTAGAGTCTATAACGGGCCAACGAGCTATAGCGTTGCGGACTGTGTCGAATCTTGAGTGCAGGAGAAAGTTCAATATTGCCAGCTACTTTTCCCAGGAGCCCGATATCTAGGGAAATAGCAAATGACTTTTTAAGTATATACTCATGTTTTAAAAGCAAGAGAATCGTTCCTTAGTCAATAGGCAATTAATGAGTACCTGTTCAGTATATACTAACTCTTTCGTACGGCGGCAATCTTGCAATCAAGTACCATCAGGGATGTTTTCCTCATGCATGCCCGCGTTAGTAACTATGTTGATAGCGAACCCATTGCTAAGACACCAACTAGACCACAAAAGCTGGCTTTCACAGGCGCAACAATACAATTGTACAAATACACACTTATAGCTAACGCGAATAATTTTCGAGATAATTAGGAAAGTAGATAGGGCTCATGTTTGCTGCCAAGTCTCCCTCTCTCTCTCTCTCTCTCTACATATGTATATATATGTACGAGCATGCAGTACGAATCACACGACACCCATTCTCTCTGAGTTACTAAGTTGACAAAACACAGAGATCTTATTTTTCGCTGCAAAGATTACGGTGCCTGTTTCTGAAGCGATCCAACCCCTGTCGCTTTGGTTTTACAGAGTTTACAGAACACGCATTCTCTTCAGTAGCGTATATTACTCTCTGGCTTCACAGATAAAGTTCAAAAGTGCTTATTTCGCAATTAATCAGATCAATTAACTAATTGAGCTACTTTAATTATTCAGACAAAAAACAGTATTTTGCTTTACCTTCAATAGCAAGGTGTTTCAAGTTTAGTAGTATACGAATGGTATGTGTTGAGACGCCTTTCTCATATTTTTCAGAAATAGAAATACCTGATTATCGGTGGCTATTTCCATGTTTTAAACTAGATAGCACATAGACACAAGAGTGTCGATATTATGTACGGCATTGCATCTTTTATGTAAAATAGTGGCTTCAAAAATACATACAATATTCAGGTGTTTGCTGTCAGTTGTTATCGAAACGATTATCCCTGTAGAATGTTATACAGTTTTAGTAGGTGACTTGCTTCTATCTGCGAAAGCTGCGCCATCGTATGCGCCACGTGCTGCATGATGTGCTACAAAACGTACGTGCTATTAAATGTTCTTTCTATTTTGTCTGATTTCCTCTAATGATTACTATCGGAAGGACATCGGATAGCAACACAGGTACAACATAGGGTACACAGCGGCGTCTAACGATCTAGAACGCTTAGGGCTGTCACGTCACTGTTAGTTATAGTAGTGGTCTATCTTCTTGTCGCAACTGAAGTGTCTCAAGCATCTACATTCATTAAGAAATCAAACATCATTACTTAGTAAGACAGTACTACAAACTGAATAGAATCCAACTCAAATAGGCGATATCAGACCCGGGATTGTGTTACTGATAGGCCCGAGCCTTATTGACTCTACAGCCGCTAACCGATTATCTTAGTGCTTCGTTTATCGTCATCATTCCGTCCTGCTTTTGCTCTTACATTAAACACAAGTTATACTTAGAGAGTTACGTTTGCTGTTTCAACCATATTTGTGGCTTTTAATGATGTTGGCCCGCGTATGCGTAAAACGGAACAACGTACCCGTCGATGCCATTTAGCGTTCCGGAATTTCGTTGTGGAGGCGGGATCGGAGCACATAGGCAGCACATTCGCGAATACGCAAACCGAAACGATCCCGCAAGGACGTTACCGATATTTGATAAACAGAGAAGCATTAGCGGGATGCCGACCAGAGCGTATAGGATTGTCGCCACTTTTCCTTCATTGGTCTTCGGAGCAATGTGACCATAGCCTGTTGGGAGAAAATTGGCATAGATATAGATGTTAACAGCAAGCACTGTTTTAAAAGACTTAAGCTACCTTCTGCAGTTGTTAAACCAGAGGAAGTGTTAGAAGAATACGTTAAACGGGCCCTACTAGTTTTGGCTCGTGATTACCATAAAAACTGCTTTCAATGAAATCCATGCATTTGTAATCCTGTTCCACGCGGTTTAGCGATATATAGCCTTGTATTCTAGCCAGAACTGAGTCGATCGCAAAAGTAGGTGAGCTTTAATAAAAGGAACAAATAAATCCGATAAAGTGAGGAAAACGCGCGTGTATTGCAAGCGCGCCAACGCCCACCGGGAATAGGTTCCAGCAGAGTGGTTGCCTTAAACCTTTTTGCTCCTAGGCTAATAGATACGGACGAGTCCGATGCTGTTTTCAAAATCAATCGCAGATGTGCGCGAGTATAACATTTGTGATGTTTATAAAACGTTAAGAAAAGCTCATGGATAAGGACGTTCATCTGTTCAGGTTGACAATACCCACGAAAAATCTGCTGAAGGAAATGCACCTAAATGGTACTTTTTGTGAAATGCATTCGATCACCATTCGTGTGTAAGTGGCACTTTGGTAAACGTCTTTCATTATACAGAAGTGTTTTTTGCTATTTAAAAAACACTACATTGCAAAAATAAGAAAGAACCTCAGGTCTGCGTCTGCGCATCTTTTTGGCCGGGTTTTTTATTCATGCACTGGTCAAATGTCGCGTCGAAGTACTGATGGCATCCTGAAACGAACATCAATTCCATCTAAAAGTATTCACTTGATTCCGTTCACATCGGGTCATCAGCGATAAATTGGCTTTTTTTTTTCTGGAAATAACGGCATAGGTAATTTAGCATTGTGAACCCCAATATAAACACTGATTTTCGTAGTGGGTTCACATGAACATTCCGTACAGCCACTGAAAGAACTAGTTAGAATAGACTTTAGTTCTGTGCAAAAGACTGCTAGCATATTATAACGTTAATCACTGCGAAGCATATATTTTTGCAGGTATGAATATTAAGAATGTCTCGCTTTCTCATATGTACTTAACGTCATAGCCTTTCTTAAGTGTGCTTGGCAGTTACACAACAGTATTTTGTTAAATTATAAGAAATAATCTAACAATTTAGTATCGTAACGTCGCTGTTTTTACTTTCAGTTACCATACATGCATTTTTTTCGACACATTTAATACGGTTCAAAGTTATAGTTACAATTACTGATATGAATGCTCACGCTAAGGTATAACATCTCGCAGAGCGTGCAAACGGGGTCAAGAGCGGCGCCCAAAGCAATAGCGCAGTCTTCAGTTTATACAGTCAACCTTACACAAACGCTGATATTACTTTTAGGTAGACTAAAAATGCATAATATTACTTCTGCATCCCCGTATCCCAGTCTCGACCTTCCCGCGCCGTTCTCGAGAAAGTCGTTTGCTGCCGTTGTAAAACGTCACATACCCATTGAAACGGTAGCCATGTTGCAGGGCCCCGCTTTCCTTTTTGTTGTAAAGAGGGTTAAGAAAAGTCAAACCGCGGTCAACAACGCTGACAGCAAGGCTCAACGGAGCTTGTTCAGTCTAGCAAAACTACACAATCTTCTTGCCGAAGTGGAATGGCAAACAAAGAGCGCTCTGTTTCAGCGACAGCCCGAATTTCCGGGAATGCCCGATTTGACAAATCGCTCGTCAGCCTGCGGCGGGCCAATCTCTCTTTTATTGACAACTGTTGTAAAATAATCTGATACTAATGGATCTAACATACGTAATACATTTTTGTTCGAACAACGCCCACCTAGACAAGTTTAGTGATTTGTAGAACGGCGAAAGACATTATCGCACTGCTTTTGGGTTTCATTTGTTACGCTTGCTACATAGATACCAAATTGCGTAATACCAAGTCGCCCGATGTAAGTCTAGCTAGCTAATATCATTTAGCTATAAAAAAATACGCCCAGTTCTATTGGCTCTAAATAAAATGTAGTGAAACGATTCTGGATGGAGCTATAAAGATGGCTGTAAAGATCGCAGACTGCAAAAACGACGACTTCAAGGTCATCCTTGTCCAAACCTGTGGCGCTTTTGGACAATCAGTCGCTCAGTGGGCCTACCAACTGGTCCCTGTTTGATTTTGAGATACGCGACCCACAGGTACTAGCTCAAGTAGAAAGCTGGATGCTTTTGGTACGATGCCGTAGTGGTTCGGATGATGAAGACTTTTATGAATATTGTTAGCACAGAAGAAATGAACTGCGGGTACAACGTATGGTGCGTCGTGTACTGTTGTCTCCCCAATCGATAGAAAGAATATTTGTTGGCGACATATCTGTCAAGTTCGCTCGGAATACAAAGTTTCCTTTTGTACTTGGTGGCTCCAAATTGTTCGTTAGGTAGACAATCCACCTTAGGAAAAAAAATGAGAAACATGCGTTCTCAAGAAACACGCACAAAACAATCTAAATAATGTTAGATAGATTAGGTAGATGCAGAATAATCACGATTTTTTCGCTTAGCAACAGAGCTATGCTATCCTACAGCTTCAACTCAAGCATACGTAAATACCGCGTTTTTATGAGGCATCGTCGTATGAGATGAAGCAAAGACTTCACAATCGGAAAAATCAATACAATGAATTAGTATCTTCGTTTGTTTGAGAATTTTCATCGAAATAATGACTTACGCGCAATCAAAGAATAACGAAATATAGCCTTTGGAAAATCCTAAATTGGTGTAAACATTCCTAAACAAAATTAGATGTCATTGACTTAGAATAATCGATATTTAGAATAATCACAGTGTTCAGTAAATTGCCTAGAAAAGTCAATGTGTCACATTTGAAAGACAGCGATATGTAGTAGCTGACGTAGTCATAAGTGTTTCGAAGTATACGAAAATTGTTTACTAACATTTAAAAGCATTTTCCAGACTATGGACAATTTTGTTATACACTGTTTTTCTAAAGTGTTTTCTCGAACTAAACAACTAATAACTGATAGGAATATCGAGCTTGGGAAAAACACTTATTCTATGAAATGAAATATGGCAAGGACTCGTCACATCATTTAGCCCTTAGGCACCCTTTCATGCAACGAATACACCTGACTGAAAGCTTCCGTGGAAGAAACCTTTGTGTTTCAAATTTTTGCGCCCGGTATTGCCGCTAGGCATTCCGCCAGACCGTTTGTTGGCGGGTTGGCTCCCAGCATTTGAATCTAGATTACAACGTGTTCCTAAAATAGCAGGCAAATACGTTACTTACAAAGCCCCGCAAAATCTATATGAACTCAAATTTCCACAGAATCACAACTGCCATTTAAGGATTCCTTATGATGAAAGCCATGAATAAATCCGGTCCGATTGTTTCTACAGAAGAGAAAATTCCAGTACCTCTCTACCATTGACCTTTACACGCATATACCTCTGACCCTTTTGATGCGCAACTTAAGGTATGCAAAAATAAATATCCAATCATTTAGTAAGCTTATGTTAAATGTTTTAAGTGTGCACATACTTCCAGCTTCCACGCCTGTTACCGCTGCCAAGTATTGCTTCCGTCTGCTGGCCCTTAACACAAAATGATTTCTTACTAAGCTCGGTTTCAGACCCTGACCCAGTTGAGTCATTAAGTGTGGGTTTCTGGATACGGGCAGGCAGGCAGATAGCCTTTGAAAATTTGTAATTTTTGCCAATACGCATATTGAAGGAATCGGGTCGGTCAAAGTGGTACCTTTTTAAAGGCAAAGTTGGTAATCAGTTTTACGAATACCATTCGGTTAGAGTAAAACGTTTCACGTAAATATACAAAATGTGGCTGATATGTACGAATAAGCTTTGTATATCGGGCTACAATTAGGTTCTGCGTAAAACGCTTCGTGATTATACGACGTTCAGAAATATTTTTGACTGTTCCAATATTAATAGCTTCTCAAAGGCACAAAATTTAGTGCAGTACAATTGACCTTATAGTATCCTTTTTCTCAGCACTATGACCTAAAATTGTTTGCAAGGTGCCTTCATTTACGAATGGTCGCTTTGGTTCCGGAGCGCAGTCAAGCACAAAATGAGCTCATCTCAGACTTACTTCGCCCCATACCCCCTGGCTTTACGCCCCGTAGAGCACGTCACATAATAGTCACAAGAATACTGTATAAGCAAACCTACTATCGCGTAGGACTCAACTGAATTAAGCCTTTCCTAATCTCGCGTTACCGCAGGCAAAGTTCATAGATTCAACCCTTATTTATTATAGCTTATAGGTCTTTTTGTCATAATGCTAATAATAATAAGTCTATGTAATCAATTAATAATGCTATAGCGATAAAGCTAATCGTACAGCCCATTTTGCCTATCGAAATGTAGAAAAATAACTAACTGCAATATTTGTTGGCATCAGTACTGAATTTACTATGCGAGTTTTCGTTGCACGTGCTAACTAATTCATGGGCATACATCGTATTGGTAATCTCGAACGAGCGCGTCTAGTTACATTGACAGATGGACACCTAGGAACTTTCGACCGTATAACGGAATGACGTTGCCAAGTGCCGTAAAAAAATCCTGTGACGTAGCTATGAGCTGTTTACTACTAACTATCTCGATTTCTTCACTTAAAAAAAATGCCTTCACATGCTTTGTACCCTAAAAAAATACCGACGAGTATGACAGAGGTTTTTCAATACATCGAAACTATAACAGAGTTCTTAAAGGCTAAATACTGCGCATTACACATAGTGGTGAGGCCAAGTAAATACTGCGGAGGTTTTTCGACTTGATGATGATCCGTTGAATAAAAACGAATGCAAATGGAAGCACATTATTTGGCTGATCGCTATCTGCAGTCGGCAATCTTCATACCTTCATCTCTAGTAAACTATTTATCATTTATTTTTCAGGCCCGAAACAAATGATGTATACAGTGCTAGACGTGGGCATAATGATGTACATATATATACAAAGGAATATGTTGAAAATGGTGTGTC